GCAGTTTAAGACCATTCATCCCATCATTTATTCCCCACCCTCGACCTAGAAAAGGCTTACCCTAATAACCAGATGTTTCTATTTTATAATCCAGTTCTCTAGCAATTAATTTTCAAATACAGTTCCCCGAGAGAACGAAATTTAAACAAATTACTCCTAATCCTGAAAATTACTAACTTGTTTTTTAAAAGAAAGACATGGATTTTCTCCCTAAGATTGAGCGTAAATTTCAATCGGTGCTAACAGTCTACATAATCTAATAAGCTCTCCTAAGTTTCTATTTATCGTCGCCTTCAAGTCTCTGTGCTCTATCATCATCGTTTTTTGTTGTGGTGTTGTGAGCTGTTATTAGAAATTGAACTCAGTTTTTCATCGAGGCTTACTCGCTTTCGTTTAACAGTGTTTGGTCTCCTGATGATAACAAGGTAAGGCCAGGAATTGAAACCGTTTTCAAACACAGCCTGTCAATGAATTATAGTTAAATGGTATATAATCTAAGGAAGTTCTCCGCTATATTTTTTTAATGATTAAGGTTCTGGAGAAGGGGAGTCTCAGTCGTAATCGTCTCTGTAGCTCTTGCACTTGGCGAAAATCTTTGGTGTCTTTGAAAAAACAAAGTGTAGAGTAATCAAGCTAAACAACAAACAAAAAGAACCTGGAGCAATGTTTGTGTTTTGTAATAACTCTACAGACCCGTGCCAACTATCATTGCAAACTTAGTCAGTAAATACCCAATTCTTCTTTCTTTATGGCTGATCAAACATCTACCCTGAGAATGCTAATTGCCCTAAAGAAAATCATCATAGGCCCAATTTGCTATTGTATTGAGATCGTTTCGTATGGCACCAAATGACTCTCTGATCTAAGAGGTTAGACTTCTAGATTACTTACAGCACAAAGCGGCTCTGTCAAAATAAATTAAATAAATTAAATCTAATTTAATTAAATATTCTATGCCTCTTAATTTTAATAATATCCTAAAATAGTGCGTACTGTGGACTCCCAGTGTGTCTTTTACACTTGTGAAGTGCCCGTGTGAACTATCTGACGACCGCAACTGAATTCAATACCGCCTGGATTTTTCTTTTTCTTAGGGTGCTCCTTTTTTTCCGTGTTGATGGGGAAAGAACAAAGCGCTCGGTGTTTTTTTGTGTTTGGCAATTCGCGCGTGGCGGGGGAGGCCGCCATATCTGACTGGCGACGCATGCGCAGTGGCTTTTACAACAGGTGCATTTCACAGTGTGTCGTGTGTTTGCTCTGGTTTTAATTTGATTTTCGCAGTAGTTTTCTGTTAACTTAAAGAGAATAATGACGAAATTTAAAAGACTTCAAATTGAATGTTTTGTGAAAAAAGGGCCGGGATATTTTATGGCTAAATATATTGTTGATGACATCTAGACACAAAGAAACTAGGATGATAGTAGTGTTGGGTGAATGATTCACCCCTCCAATGATGTGGGATTGTTTGGAAGGTGACAAACGCTTGACTAAAGGCCGCGCCGAGCGCGTGCTGCTTTTTCTCGAGTATTGGTTCTGCTAAGTATCGTATCTTTAATTCAATTTTCACGATAAACTTCTCTCGAAAATGCCAATCACTATATCTACATTGTTAGAAGAAAGCTGCTCTTTTCTGAATGTGACAATGAACTTAAGTATCGCTTTTATGAAGGATCCTTTCTCTAGCTGCGGTTATTAAATTTTTAAGTTTGACGCATTGTCAAAAAAGGGATTAATATGTAGTATTGAAGTAAAGGAAAGGCAAGCCATTTTTACTTAGTTTTCCCCACCATCGTTAGACATAGAGTGTTATATTATGTAAGCCAAGCAAAAAGGCTTTCAAGCTGTAATATCGTCAACAACAATACGAAAAAGCATCGATAATAATTTTAATTTGCCCATAAGATTAAATGTTCCTCGATAAGCGCTCTCAAAATGGACTCCAGGTATGGGGGGCCATTTCTTGTTGCGAATTCAAAATGTAATTATAAATATTCCTAGCGGGCACTCGGCTAACAAGCTAAAGTGAGTTTGGGAGGTAAAATCGGCATGATTCTCTTTAGCTCTGCAGTTTATTTTTGCAGGGACAATACCCTGGTCTTATTAGAGAAATAATCAACAGAAAAGAAAAGGTAAACGAGTGTTGCAGCTGCTTATTTCGAAATTTTTCTCAACTCGTGGCGACGGAATACCTAATGCTTTGCTAGCAAAATCACCTGGTCTGTAGTAGCGCTTATTAGGACAAAGCGGACGCGTACGCTTCAATCAAAATAATAAAAAATGTCTTCCAATCGCTTTATCCAAGGCATCATTTTTTCCCTAAAAAAGAAGCACAAAAATGCCCGGGATAATTTCGGAATATTTTCTTTGAAATCCCACTCTATTTCGACATTCCAAAAACAATACTAATTTAAGCGCAATACTAATGGTGGTTTTGGCTTGTATTTTTAGAACACAACCATTTATTAAACGTCCACCTCTTTAGAAAAAAGAGATACGACTTTTCCAGGGAATTGAAGACTGAGTAATTGTGGAATGAGGGTCATTTGGAAGTATCGGTGCGAAGTTCTAAGAGACGTACCGCGATGCCGGACCACGCAAATGAAATAAAAATGAATCTTATTGCTTTCGAACTTCAAAGTTTTCCTAAAACATTGTGTTAGCCAACCAAATTCGATTAAAAGCATTTGTTTTGGAGAAGGCCTGACCTATTTATCTAAGCATATAGAAAAGTTTTTAAACAGCTCATCAAATCATATCCGTTTATCAGGGGTCTACCTTTTTGCGAGCTAGAAAGAAATAAAATTTACAGATCGATTTTATAGCCCAAGGGCCCGAAATATAAGTTTCCTTGCGTGTCGAGGCGACAGACTGGTTTCAGTTACAAAATCTACACCCCGTAGAACTCGTAGTGAGAGGCAATCATCAAAGAGAAGTTGTTTAGATATGTAGAACGTTTAAAGACTTTCTTATCCTACGACTATTCGAGGCCTGACGTAGACGATAAATAGTTGTTCATTTTGATTTTATCGATGATAAATCGAAACTCCCTCTTTACAAGCACCTGCGTACGTCATTCTACGTGACCGTTAACCAGGTTTTTTTTAAGACTCTAAGACTGAATTTCACCAGCATCTTAATCTTCAACTCTCTCGTACCCAAAGCAGCACTCTTAGCACTGTTTTCCATTATAAAAAAAAAAAACAGGCTTGCAAGGCTCAGTTTTGTGGAGTAAACGAAAGAAAACTATAAGGTTGGTATAAAAAGGCTGAAAGAATCGCTTCAAACGTTATTGAAACACAACTATATCTACACCCAATTATATATGAATATTTTGACGGACATTAGTCATACTTTTTAAAAGGTTATTGAATGTTGAATATATTATCAAAGGCTTTTTCTCTTTGGGGTCTTTTTCTGCTTCGCTGGCTGTTTAATGCAAGCGATCATTAGTCAACTTAACTGTCATGGAAGCACAAAACTAGAGGCCGAATTTGCGACTCAAATCAAGAGTTGACGATGGCATTTCTCGATAGTATAATCAAATAGTAAAGAAGAGAAACAGTGTTCCCGGAAATACACGTCAAAAGAACAAAAAGTGAGGCAATAAAGTATTGGACAGTTGAGCTGCTCACTTTTGCTTGGAAATATTCGGCGTATTTCGTCAGTAAGCTGAATTAGAGTTGCACTGAAAAGCGTGGGAACTACGTCATGTTTAACAGCTCTCGACAAAAACTATAACCAGAAAAAGTGTACAATGCTATCAAAATCCATACTCAATTCTCCCTTTAAAAAACGATCTGTGACGAAAAATTTCCGTAATGTGACATTAAACACCACCATAAAATTATCTCCTTTGGAAATAAATAAAGATTTGGATTTTTAGGAATTTTTAGGCTGGTAAAATGTTATTGCGACTTGATTAACTAACAATATCAACCAGGCTAAATTTAAGGTCGAATTGTGTGGTGATTATTTCGAAGAATATCAAAAATATTAACGATAAGTAAAGGTTAGAAGTTGTAGTTGAATGTGTACTCGATGCGAGTCTTACAGTCACCTGCGATTGACAGCACAATACAGGGGAGAACTCATTTTCTTCCAAAGACAATGCAAATTAGTCCAATAGATGGTGAGTTTCCACGGCCCTCATTGTTTTCGAGCTTGGAGTCCTTTCATTATATCTACTAAATTTGGATCTATTATTGCTTTCATTCTACGCGACCAATCATAAATTTCATCAAAACTTCTCTGTTCTCCTTCCTAACGCCTATCTTTCTCGTTCCTTTATTTCTTTATCTCTTTCTTTCTTTTATTTTCTCGCAGTTTTATATCCCTTCTCATGGCGCGTGCTCTAAACAAATGCGGTCTGCCCGCGTGTTGTTCAATCTTTGTTATTAAATCGTAAATTAAATCGCACAATCCTAACATTTCAGAGTAAGAAAAAAAAGATGAGTAAACAAAGTGTTCAGATCGTCTATCGTGAGAGTATTTGGAGAGCAGGCTGAAACAAAAAAGCCTCGTGCCAGCATATTTAGGCAAGTGCATAGACGGTTCGTATTTCAATGGTGTATATACGCTTGAGGGCCTCAGGTAAAACTGAAAAATTGCTTCAATTAACCGACCGTACCATCGCGCGCGAAACACATCAATGTCTTCTAAACCCGTGACATCCTCACACCCGCGCCTCGCGTTGGCCTTTTCGATGTGAGAGACTAATGACGTACACCGGTCGATTTCAATTGTTTCTATTGTCTCGATTGGTCAATAGAAAGAAATTGACACTTGCTGAATTGAACCTTGCAAATGACCAATAGGCCGTCAAAAGGCGGCTTTTCAAGCGACCAATCAGAGTCTATCTGGTTATAAATGAGAGAATCGATTCAAACACAAGTGAAAAACTATAGTGAAAGGAAGAAAAAAAAAGTCATCCATGTTCTTACTATAAGCCCGTCTCTCTGTGGATTCGGATTCACAGTCAAGTTTAATCAGTAGGTACAATTTAGACCAGAAAGAATAGAACTAAATCAGAAGATTACGCCGAGTCCATCTTCTTTCGACGTTTGACAAGGAGAGAACTTTCGTTCGTTGATCATTTGACGGTGTCGTAATAATTGTATTCAATACCAAGTCCAAGACAAACAGCAACAGCCTTAAAGTAACGAACTCAAAGCGAGGTGTGTGACAAAGACAGGGCCGGCCACTGGAGCATGTACTATCATCGACGAGACCACTCCGATCAAGAGGTCCCATACATGTACCCACAGGTACACCGGAGATTCCACGATAAAAATCTTGCCCGAGGGGAAGTACACTTTATTGGTTTTTATCTTTATTTATGTATTTTTTTATTTTACAGTTAGAATCACGAGCTTACCAAGTTGAACACAGAAAAAACGCCATTCTACAACAACGAACCAAGAACGGCGATACTTTGACAATTGATTCCCAAGGTGATTTTGACTTCGGCCGCTTGATTAAATTAGACATGTTTTTGAAAGATGTTTTGGTTATGTTATGTTAAAGAGATCGTTAAATTGAGGCTTTAATTTTAATAAATCTGTTCTTTTTAAGTGCTGATTTGATTTGAAGAGGAGTCTTGAATCTATTTCTGTTTTCGTTTTTAGAATTATTCCAAGATTTGTCCCAGATGCAGGACCAATGGCTGACCGAAGGTACATGAACGAGCTACCAAAATACTCATGATACGCAACAAACAAGAAAAAATACCCCTTTAATTATATATCGCGAAAATTACTCTTTGGTTTAAATAATTGATCATTCAACTCTTCATTTCAAATAGCAACTGAACGTTATTTCACATGCTTTCAATTCGACCCCGTTGAGCTGCGCCACTGCTGTACTGACTTGCAGTGGTGATTAGCGATGACGAGTTTATATTTTTTTGAATTTCTTATAATCGATAGAATCACAAAAAACACTAATCGTACTAACGCTTTTATACTGATGCGTTCTTGCAGTTCGTTCATCGTACCCAGTGGCATCGACAACAGCTGATGAACAGTACGTACCAGAAATGGAAGGCGTACGAAACCCCAATAAAGAAGGTACGAAAAAAAATCTGCAATCCCTAATCCACTCTGCTTTACGCAGTGCAACAGGTTTTATATCTAAAAAGGCAATAGTAACTCTTAACTCAGTCTATGGCCTGGTTTTCCGGTCTGTCGTAGTTTGCACTCGACACACGCGCGCGAGTTTTTCTCATTGTACCACCCTCGTTTCCTTTTCAGTTTAAGAAGTTGATAGAGAAACGATAATTAAGTTGAATTTCCTTAGTAAACACGTAGTATGGTAGCGAGATTTTCTGGGCCACTAAAACACAGCCCGCGTACGATGCTATCACTCTCATTCTCCATTTCAATTTTGGAGGAGATTTTCCCCCAGGGTACATTCGTGTCAGGGCATTAGAAACCCAGTAATTTTGGCTGTGCATAAAATTGGAGCCGGGAAGATTCGAAATATACCGCTAAAGGTTAGAACAACGCTATTAAAAGATCCGCACTGATAACCAAGAAAAACTACCAAGTGTGAGTGGAATAGCGTTTAATTTATGCCGGCTTCGACATATTTATGAGAAGAAGGAGAATGCCATTCGAACATGCTGATCGATTTGACGCGCGCTTTATCCGCCAGAACAAAAGTCTTAAATTTTACTTGTTACATGGGATCTGCCCCCATCCCATTTTTCAATTATGTAAATAGAGCATTCTTCTTATGTATTGTTTGAGCCATTGATAGAGTTATTTTTGTTTTGAAAATGAATAGGCATTTAGATGAGTAAGAGTTTATTTTCTCTGGTTTTGCAGCGAGTTATGTCACACACATCAAGACCGAGCCGAGAGACCTATGCGACCAGAGCCAGTCCACCGGTCTAACGAGCATATCTAGAGCGCATAGCAATTATAAAATGGAAAACGGTATTGAATCTAGTTCTTACATGAAGATGATGAGCGAAGTTCACGCGCCCACTAATTCCCCACTCGTCTATACGTGCGGAACACAGCCATCAAGTTTTCACTGTATGAAGGCTTATCGACAGCTTTACGACGGTATGGCAACTTACGAAGCACAACCACCAGCTTATCCGGGCGTTAAACAGGAACCCATTGACTGCAGCCCGGTCAGTGACAATCCTTACGATCAAGGTATTATTTTTCCTTCTCATTAACTCTAAATATTTTGAACTTTAACTGTTTTTTAAATATTTCATGCGAATTAGTGATATTTTCAAGGTTCCGAGTTCTGCCTTTTCTGTCGCTCTGCTCTCTTCGCGATTTCTCTTCTGAGATGTTTTCGGCTCGGAGCTTTAAATTGTTGAAGCTATCTTTTTCTCTGAGTTAATTCAATTTGTTGATGGGAATTCACTTTTCATAAGTTCTCTTGTATCACATTTTTATTTGATTTCTGGTTTTCCTAGCAGGAAGGCGACAAGTGCTTGAAGACATAGAAATCTCTCTTCGAATGTTGGCCCCATTTGAAGTTGGTTTCCCCTATTTAAACGCTAAAATCTCGAAGTACCTTCCAACATAAAAAGGCCTCTCATTTATTTTTTCAAAGAAAAATCACTCAGTCATTTTTCACCTTCAATTAACTCGATTTTCATTCCAATTTTTCATTTAACATCAAGAAGGCCTCTCTCGAGTCAGCACGTGAAATCCTTGGCTGTAGTACCTATACCTTGACTAGTTCATTTATCACGAATCGCCTGTCGTTGTTTTAGCGTATTATCCGAGTCGTCTTAGCGCAGAGATAAAAACGTTAGCTGCTTCAAACTTTACGGTGCTCTTTTGTTTTGCGGTTTGTGATTGAAGAGTGCACAGCGCATTGTTATAGTTAGATGAGGAAGGCGCCGTTTAAAATATTACGGTAAATGAAACATTTTATTCCATTCAATTGTAGATCGCCTCCAAGGTCTAGCTGCCTATCATCACCAACCACACCAACAAGCAGAATGCTACGGTCTTCAACCTACTTCCACTGAAGGTACCGAATATTTCGCCTGCTTTTTTTTTTCCCCCTTCAAAAAGTGACTGTCATCTTCAGCATTGTCTTCCATTCTAATTAGACATTTTGATAGCCTCCATAGAATGAATATTCATAGAACTTTGATTTCATGATAGAACCTTTTCGAATTAATTTTAATTGTTATGGACTAGGTTGAGCACAATATCTTGAGTTTCGTTTGCAGATGGTTTGTCTTGCTTTCTGATTACAGCATGCATCTTTTTAATATATCTTTACCAAATATACATAAAACTTCTGACAGCCTAAAGCGAGATCCCCAGATGCCTTACTACTTTTAATATAAACTTCAATTTGAGAGAGAAAAAACTTATACATGTAATTTAGGCTTCGAACAGTATTACAATCGACGCGTGCTTTTAAGATCCTATCATTTTGCATTTGTCTTATGGCGTGAACCGTAAAGTATAGCCCCAGAGTTTACAGGAAATTAGACCATAATTCACTTAGACTGAAACCTGATTATATTTTTTCGTATTTAGTTTTCCTTTACAAGGAACCTTCTACATTTGCATTGATATTTATATACACACAAAAATAAAGAATAATAGAACATTGAATTCGATTTTCTTTTTTTCGGGTTCGTTTCTTGATCATCTCTTGCCAAATTGAATCACAACAATACGCAAATAAACTGCTTTTATATCTTTACGAGAAAGAATTCCTTGTTATTTACGTTTCATTTTTTTTGTAATTACATTACTAGGAGAATATGTACTGTTCTATAAACCGACCGAGCGAAGCCCACCCGCCTGGACATGATAGAGCTTTTCTAAACTTTTTAGATTGGTTTGCATTTTGAGAACATTTGCTTGGTATTGTCAAAAGTAATTCAATTCGCATACGTAAGAACAGACACTAACGAAAAGAAAAGCAGGTGCAAAGAATTTCAATAGCTTAAATTTTTACTGATTAGCCTTTTGGACTAGTTTCATCGAGAAATCCATTGAGCAATACAATATATATATAACCCCCACTTTGAGTTGGAAATTAAAAGCAAAAGCAATCCATAGGAGAATTTAATATCTATCATAAAAATTAACTTAATTTTTGGACTAATTTCGCCGTCTCTTTGCTTTTATTTTTAATTCTTCGGAGTTTTTGTAACATTTCTTTCCCTACATAATCTAATAAGTATACAAACACAATACAACAAAAATTGTCGGTCGACTCTCGGCAACTGCAAGAGGATATAAAAACTAGTTAGCAGAGATAATGTTTTTACTGTCTGTGTAACTTAACTTGGCTAGTAAAATAAATGCTGAGATTATGGTCAATGAAAATTTAAATTTTTGAAGACCGCTTGGTGGAAATTTCCTTGGAAAGAAGCGCTATTGTATTTTTGAGCAAGTTTGGTTTATGTTTCCTACTTTTTAGATGGCTTAATTCTTTAATGCCACATGCAGCAAAAAGAAAGACTAAGTCGTTTTTAACGATCATTTACCGGCAAAAAAAGCTTTTCGAGTTCATCCCCTCATACGCCCTAAACAGCGAGAACTTGTGTGTTTTGATCAAAGGTCTTTATTTAATTAAGAAAGGCTGTTTTATCATGTACTGTAGTTGCCATTTCTGGAAGTAAATAGTTTTTCACGCCGTGCTTTAGATTGTATTGAAAAGCTTTTTTCACTATCCTTACGCTATTAAAAAGTAAACGACCTTCATTTTTACCGAAAAAGATTTGAAATTAAGCCCGTAAATAGCGTTATTCATTAGCGCTAAGTTTTTCTGGGGAGTTTATTCTTTCACATTTTAGGATAATAATGTACAGAATAACATCTGTCACCCTCGTACTGCACTTTTTAAACTCCTTCTAATTTCATTCGCATCCATCAATTTTCCAATTCCAACGCATTTTTCAAAAAATAAATGATTCCGCTTAAGCTGGGGTCAGATATTCACACAACCGCTCTCCATGTGATTAGATCGAGGAAAAATTGCTTGGGAGACTGTTTTGGTTTGAACGAAAATGAAAACACAGTAAAGAACAAAGTGGAGTACAAAAATAAAAAGTAAACAAATTCAAGATGTCGAGTTTCGTTCGGTGAATTTATAGTCTCTTTTTCCTTATTATTTAAACTATTTGTAAATAGGATCGTGAACTTTATGGTAAACGAACAAGATTATGTTTCTCCTGGACAGTATGTTTACAGCAGAGTTTTTCAAAATGAGTGAATCATCTTGCGTGGTTCATTAAAACGATCGAACGTATAATGTACATTATGAATGCTTGCTGTTGCTTCAAACTGGAATGATGAAGTCATAAACTAGATGTAGAAGAGAATTGCTTTAAAATGGCGAAAGAAACAGCCTTTGAAATATATCTGTAGACGTCGTTCGTATTCTTCGTTAAAGACTTGCAGGGCCTTGGCCTGAATCATACTTAATCTTCCCAATGACATTCTACTACAAAATCTAACATTTTTACACAATGTCCTTTGTCCTTTGATCATATCCCCTCAACGAATTCTCATTGTTTTGAAACAATATTTTCCATTTTTTAGAGAGGTAGTTCCAATGCGAATCCGAAATTCATCGACGACCAAGCAACTTCGAAGCGGTATTAAAAACACAACAACAAAAAACGGTCGATTCTCGCTGCGTCGAACGAAAATGAAAGCGAAGTTTAGACACTGGTTCATTTATACCAAAAGCCAGGATATTTACTGTGCTAAACGGGAAACGATATGTCAACATGAACAGGCGGAAACGATCATAGAGTTAAGAGACCTATACTTTAAAACACTTTGCCAACGGGAAACGGGTTAATTTTGACTCTTTCTCGACAAGAAACAATGCGATAAACTTTTAGAATTTCCCCTCAATCTTGTATGAGGTTGTTGTGGATTCCCATAAGTGCTGTAACATGGTTTTTTTGAGTAAGTTCCTCTCATCTTTTAACTCGCCCTTATATCTACCGGAGATCGAGCATTCACGAGAAAACGGTTTTCTCACGAATTCACACAGCGATGGCTATTGATTATAGTGAATAATTTGAAAGAAGCTACATTATAGACAAGAAAAAAATTACATGCTTTCTCCTCTCACTTCCTCAAACATTTAGCAATTGAGCTTGGTCAAAGCAGACAGAAATGACTCTAGATTACGTTCAAAGATAACTCGATATTGAACAAATTCAACATTTTGAAAACTTAGTGTTTTTTCGGCCATTTTTGTTATCCTTCTCGATTTCATCTAAATCCGTCTTTATCGTTTCTAGTATTTTAGGAAATACTCTTCTTTACTGAATGTTTCATCGAGAAATAATCCCACAAACGCCACTAAAGTGTTGGTTTTTTTTTGGGAAGTGATTCAATTTTCTGTCATGTGCAGCGATAAAAATGTTCAACAACACTCGGGTTTAATGACAAAAGAAATCTTCAATGTTTTTTGTTAAAATTAATTCAATTTTTTCATTAGACAGCGAAGTGACGTCCACAAAAAGAAAAAGAAAAAAGAATTACTTTTTTGTTCCAAAAAAATTGTTTTTAAACTCACTTTTTAAAAAAATAGCATAAAATGTTTGACACGTTCTTAAGACTAAAAATAAATAATATTAATCAAAAATAAGCTTGTACTTCTTCAAAAATAATTAAAATCAAAGCAAATGCTCAGAAAAAGAAGATTTTATTTCAAGTGCAGCGATGTTTGCGGTTTCAATGTTGACTTTTACTTCTATAATGAGCAAACTAGTTCTCATATCGGCTAGGATTTCAGCGACTTTCTACGGTCTAATGTTGACAGCGCTCGAGTCATTCTCTGTCTGTGTAAAATGTCACAATATTAAAAAATTACAGTTTTTTTAAAACGCTATCAATGAACACCAGGAAACACACACTTATACAAATGCATTTGATATTTTTGGAGGTTGAATTGTAAATGCTTTTTCTTGATCTGATTAAAAATTACTTTGGCTTTAGCAGCGGGAGTCTATGGTGATCCAAACCTTCACTCATTCTACGACGAGCCACTACCATATTCTGAACGCTACAAGGAACATTATCATAAAGAATACAAAGAATACTTGGAACAACACAAAGAAATGAAAGACTATAGAGATGGTGAGTAAAAATGTTGACTACAGAATCGACCGAAAACATAGAATACTTGGTATGAAATTTTTGAATACAATCATTTGACAGAACTTTTTTCTTTTTTTTTTTTTTTTTGTGAAGAAAAATGCCTTCTATCTTAAGGAAAAAACAAATAAAAAAGAAGCCGGTTTAAATCAATTAGATTTTTAATATTCCGTTCCAAGCTATTAAACAGCGCTTTGCTCTTTTAAATGCTAGAATTACTACAGAACCGCAATGAAAGCCTTGGTGTTAGTAACAGCTTTGTGTTGTCTCGCATTGAGTGCCACAGTATTTGTAACCGCGGTTCTGGATGCGCACTCACTTGATAAGTCCAAAAGTATTTCCTGGGTTATTGCGAGTTCAAGCCGTGGTAACTACTAGATAATAACCATTTGAAGCAAAGAAATACCCCGTTTAAAATACAAAACTCCTATCAAAAATATTTGTACAACTACTTCAAACGGCGGAAGGAACTAGCTGTTTCAAATTTATACATTCCATACTTGGTTTGTTCCGTGATAGTGTAGTTTAGTTCCGAAAGATATTATAGCTAAGAAAACGTCTGGGAAACTCGACGGAATAGGAAGTTCATTCTTACAGACAGGACAATCACTGAGGGGGTCGGTCGGTTTTCTGCGAAGCAAAGATGTTTTGTGTTTGTGTGTGTGAGGTGTACGAAGTTAGGCTTGCTAACATTGTTGGATCGAGTGATTCGTTATCTGATGTAACCCTAACGCTGAGACAAGTTCGATTCCAGCTGCTCCTCTTTCACAGAAGAAAAACCCCATTACAAAGTGAGCAGTCGTCAACTTGTCTTTGACTATATTCATTATCGTTCTTTTAAGTTCAAGGATGCTAAGTTTAGCCTGATAAGATCCTGAAAGCTCCCCTAAACAACACGTTTTGCCCGATGACAAATCTTGATAGCCAACATAGCTAAAAGCACAAGCTATCTTGACGGACTAATTATGATAGTAAGGGTTTAAAGCATCCAAAAAAAGAAAAAAACCCTGAATTACCAGACCACAAACGTTAGGGTTTTTGAAAGTAAATTCAAAGTAGCCTGATATATATCTATCGGTGCCTTTCACGAATATCGGCCATTACAGCGTAATTAACAAAATATCCTTCCGGATCTGAAGAAAGGTAAAAAAGACCTAATCTTCAGGTCGGTCTTGTAGAGCTTATTTTTACTTGACCTATTCGTTGTCTAGAATCACTCCAGACTAGGCTGTTACTGATGTATTTGATGTCGAATGATCGCCTTTTACACGAATCGTACACTGCCCAAGTTCTGTTTAGCTCGCTTAGTTTTTCGCTTCCTACAACAAAAAGAAAATTTTGAAACACTCTTTGTAATACTGTCAAAAATAGGTACTTTTCACATTCTCTGTACTGAATGTCCTCGGAAAAGCGCCAACGCTGGAAATGGGAATACAGTAAGTCTATCTATAGCTTATTAAGAATTATTTTTGGAAGAAAAAAGGGCAAAAACTAAGACAATAAAGGGTGGAGACGAGCAAGCTCGCAGGCGTACGTAAAACATCGTCCGGCAAGTCAAAGAGTGTTGAAGGAGATTTTATGACAACGACTGACAGTTTTTCTGATTATTTAAAGAATATCACTAAAGAGTATTGTGTCACAGAAAATACAAATAGGGTCATTATTCAAAAAGAAAACACTCTTAGTCTTAGGAAAGAATTTACTTTGACTAACGTAACGATGGGGCTGATATAAGCCTCGCCCGCCATACAACAGACAACAATGCTCCGGCAGAGGTTGTGTCATGTAGGCTTTCGACGTTCGTTTTATCGAGGGGCGAAAAATAATCTAATTTCAAGTTGTTGTCGGGTTATTCATTTCCAATTAAAAATTATTGCTTTGTACAGATAATTTAGGTCCGAAATCTCGATCACTACGGAAAAGAAAACATAATTGGTCGGTAAATTTTTCGATAAAAAAAACGGTTATTTAAAGGAGAGTATTGGACAGGAAAGGCTCGAGGCTGGGAAATAATTTAACGACATCGGATCTTTGTAGAATTTCGATTTGGTGCGCTGACTATGGGCATTACAACTGGATTTCGTAGACTCAGTGGAGTTGGGATTAATCGAGTCAAAAGCGCGCGCTCCTCAATCGTCCAATTTGAAGGGCCATTTCCTGAGCTTTTGAGCGATATTTGCCTAACTTAATGGTATTTGTTTACAATTAGGGCGATCGAAACGCGGTTTTTCTTGCACGCATTTGGACTTGACAAACAACCCCCTTTAGTGCAATTGCACTCCCTAATGACTTAAGGCCTCCAGCAGCTGTAAACTGGCGCCTTTATGAAGACACTAATTGGAAAATCCTAACAGAAGCACTTAGATTGATCTAAATTGACTGCTACACGGCGTGAACACTCATTGCTGACCGCTGTAAGACTTATTAAGGTTTTGTGTCTGTTTGATGGAAGAACGCAACATGTAAACCTTGAGCGGTATCTTTTTTTTTTTTACACTGAAACAAGCAAACACGGCCGAGGGCTTGGAGTTTTATTCTCAAAAGATAATTTAATATAGTCCAATTAGCCTGTCTTTTTCAGTTGACTTAAGCAAGGGTTTTATGAGTTGATGAAGCAATGAATGACACAACTTTCACAGTTGTAAGATTAGTAAGCTATCCTCATCTTAACGAGAGCCCACTAAATCTACTTTTACTATCGTCATCTGTGACAATGAATTTTTTAGAGAATGATGGAAACAAAAGAAATTATTGAACTGCTCATTTGGACATCAAAGATCCCGCCCATAAAAAACTCGGGCCTCAAAACTGTGCAGACTGCTCATTTCCCACAGTTTGATAGATTCTTGTATATATATATTCCTTTTTACTTTGGCCTCATTAGCTACTAATAAGCTTCGCCACAGTTCATTATGGTCCTACTTTCCCATTTAAATCTATTCAAAATTGTCTAAACATAGAAAATAAAACATAGGAAATGTGAAATAGTGTTTTTTGCTAATGATGTTCACATTTGAATTGAAAAAAATTAGCAAATTCACTGACTTGTTGTTCCTAGGTGAACATAATAAAAACCAAACAGAATTCTTTCTTTTATTTCTAAGAAATTACGCCACAAGCGCGACAATTGGGAAATTTTAAAATTCATCAATCTAGGAACTACTGCTTTTGAAAATAAATGAATTGTTCACATGGAAAATAGACTTATTGTTTATAAATTTTTCACCAATTTTACACCGTGGGATTTTATCCGTGTGTGCGGAACAAAATTATTTTATACATTATTATTTAAGTTTATTTCTACTTCTGATCGCTTGCATAATAAACTCAATGAATTCATAGATTAGTTTGGAGCTAAAAATATAATATTTATCATTTCCGAATGGTTTTGAGTCGTAATTTATTAAGTCTAAACTGTTCATGAGATGTCTTTTTTCGCACGCCTCTTTTTAGACCCATATGTTTAGCTTGTTCTCTTTGAAATTTTTTTCTCAAAGATATCGTTCGAAAACCACCAGTTGCAGTAAACTAGTTCTATGAATGGCTATATCGAGGCAAAGAAGATGCAGTCCTAAAAATCTCGAAAAATACACTCAATAGAAGTTTAAATTTTTTTTAACGATGTCGCTACGATATACACCAAGCACGTCTTTAAAGATAAGAAATAATGCCCTAGTCAGTAATTTTATGATTTTTTGCTGTATAATTTTAACCGTAGATATACTGATAGCCACAACACAGTTTTTTGAAGAAATTACACAACTGCCAATACGTATTCTTGTTTTAATAGCGACAAAATTCAACAGTTTTCAGATTATACAAAGCTTAAACGGTAAATTGTATAAGCAGATTGTTTGTATGCGAGATTCCCTGCCAAGATAAACAACACTCTTATTTGACTTTGAAATACGAAGAATGTGTATAGAATTTTATTTTGGAATACAATAAATCCATCTAAGTGGTAAAAGAGATCCTTTTTAAATATTTACAGTGAAAAAGCTTTTTTTAGAGCTCAACATAAATCATGTGAAAATTGTTAACATTGGAGATTTGCGGCAAAGTCATTTTCAGGCAAAGTTTGTTTAATTAAATCTTGGAGTTTAGAAGCGCGTGCTTCGATTTAATTTGAAAATGATATCAAAGTTGTGTTTTCCAACATCAACTTAGGTGATTAGATTTTCGGAACGTTTCAATTTCTGCCATTATTTGTGTATTTAGCCCATCTTAAATGAGGTTTATCATTGTATTGATTCGTGTCATATATGATTTGATATTTACCTAGAAAAATTTCATTTCGAACTGATCGAACCCAATCCAAATAAACGACAAAAACATTCATCAAACGTCTGTCGTTTTCCAGGCTTTAGTGTTAGCCAAAGCACGGCTCACTCTTCTCTGGAAATCTTTGGTCCAAGTCAGCTAAATTATCCGTCAATTTTCAGAAAAAAAGACAAAAAAATGGCAATCGATCTATGAACTGTCAGAATCACAGAGCGTAAATTATATTAGGCTCACCAATATAATCGTAATATATCACTCAACTATCCATCAAGACAACAGATTGGTTTTACTGATTGCAAAATTCTTCCTTCAAGGAGAACCATTTTGTTATTATTTCGGAACCTCACTGTTTTGTTTTTAATAGAAAAACATGTTTTTATACCGAAGTGTATTTTTTTGCATATAAAACGCCAAATTTAAAACTGCCACACCCTGAATATACAGAATTGTTTATCGATTGAAAACGAAATCCACACTTTAAATACAGTGTAATTATTGAATTTCAAAGTTGAAATTAATTTTCTAGAAAACAGAAACCTAATAGCGTCTAATTTCTCATTGTGATGGTGAAAATCAAAGCTTATGCTATTATGTGAAGCTGTTTATCGAGTGTATTTCCAGATGGACTCAGACCGCGTCGTGTCTGCAAAGCTGGGAAAAGCTGGAATAACAAATGTTACTGAATAATACGATAGATTATTTTCGCTGTCTGGGCTAAAATTGCGTTTAAATAAAAAGAGGCCGATAAGAAAAAAGCGTTTGAAAATGAAAACGAAAGAAAAAATCCCTTCACATTAATTGAATGAATATGTGTCGCATTAGACATTTTGCGCGTTAACCGCCAACAAACTCATTTTTATTTATTTTTTAATAAGATTTTTAATGAAAAATTTTTAAAAAATTTTAACGAAAAATTTTATTATAATTTTCAGCGAGTCCAGAGTTCAAAGTGCCTAGCGGTGTCCCTTATCCCGACAGCAGGACATTTCAGCGTAGGGGCTCTCTACAACTATGGCAGTTTCTCGTGGCCCTATTAGACGAGCCCGAATGTTCCTCGTTCATCGCGTGGACGGGACGAGGACTCGAGTTTAAGCTCATCGACCCAGAAGAAGTAGCCCGAAGATGGGGCCTCCAGAAAAACAGACCGGCCATGAACTATGACAAACTAAGCCGTTCTTTAAGATATTACTACGAGAAAGGAATAATGCAAAAAGTGGCTGGTGAGCGATACGTCTATAAGTTTGTCTGTAGCCCAGAGGCCTTGTTCAGTATGGCTTTCCCCGACTCCCAAAAACCGTATATCAAACCAGAATGTCGGGAACCTAAACCAGTAACCCCTCATTCAACCCAACAACTAGTACCAATGCCTAAAGATGCCTACAAGACACATTATCCACAGCAACACTACGTTGCGACGTCAACAAATTGTTATCAGGCAGAGTGGGACATGGATTCCGCTTGTGTCTACTGATAAGGATAAGCTACATATATTTTATATAGAGATATATTGATATATGTGTATATATATAATAGAAGTTTCATTATTTGTTTCAACTTGAAAATCAGTGATTTTTATTGTAAAGATCGATGGATTTCTTGATATTTGAACGGTCCTTTGGTTTTGAATTTGTATCATGAGCCTCAGAACCAGAGTTTGCCTGACTAAAACGAATCTAAGAAAAGTAAGAATCTTGTGTAGATTATGATAGAATAAAATAATGTTCGCAAACTCTAAGGAAATCGACAAAAAATCTTATTCAACCCGCGTTGCGTTAACTGTAGAGACTTGGAGAAACATTTCCTTCATCGAAAGGGATTCTTGTCGAATAAGATGCGTTTTCTACGAACTAGAGTAGAAAGCTTTTCCATCTAGAAATAACGCAATATTCTGAATTAACGAATTGAGTTTTAGAAAGTTTCAGAGTATATATGCTCGTTGTCTCTGATATACTCAGTTTATTTCGCTACATTTTGGAGAACTTAGTGTAGCAAGTGCGGTTAAAATTAAGAAGCAATTTTGCAGAAAATTTTAAGGCTTGGTTGAATCTGCAAAAAGCTTACTGAATCCTTGGCAATGATCTAGGCTTTCGGGATTAAGTTGATTCAGATAGCTGAGAATTTGAAAACAAATACTAAATACACATGTACATATATATACATATATATATATTCTTTATACATATATATACATATATATGCTGTTATATATACATATATATGTACATATGTGGGCCTGCGAGGCTGTATGTAAAATAACTGAAGAGATCTATCAAATTATATGCCTGTACAATTTTAATTTATATTTAACAATAAATAAATTAAATCTTATTATTTTGAGACGAAAAAGTGAACATTTTTTCTGACTATTTTCATGTCAGCCTCGATTATCAAACCAAATCAATAGTATATTTTTTGCTTTGATTTAAAAAGATCAAAGAGCTTTCTCAGTTTCTTGTAGACAGTCTTCACCTGGATGAATTAGAAAGTTAATACTTGTGTAGTCAAAATCAAGAATGATCTAATTAGTCAAGTATACTAGTCGCGCCAAAACCAGGTCACGTGATACCTGTTTGGATGGCTAAACGTATTGATAATACAACCTATTATGGCCCTAATCCCCCGATGATCAATTTAATAAGTATATCATTTACCATAAAAAAATTTCGCTTCACGGATTACACTAACAAAAATATTCACCAGCTATCAACATACTGGATCGTCCGACATTTTTCTTGATATTGACTACAAAGGTGTATGGAAAGTACGAATGATCTTAATCAAACAACTCACAAATTCTATTAAATATATGAATATATAGTTATAAAATATTTTTAGGAATAGGAGACAAAATTTATTGACAAGAATTCAGAAGTTGTCAAAGGAAGAGATGTATGCTTCTTATTTAGATAGAGATGTGTGGTGATTGAAACGATGGCTCGCCTCTAAGCGAGGGAGAGGTTAGTTTACTTTTTCAACTCGTTCTCAAAAAGCAGCAGCTTATTAAGTATGAAAAAATAGTTGAAGTACAAACTTCTCGTTAAGATTTACATTAACTCACTACCGTCGACTGGTACTCCACTCAGCGATGCACCAACTAGTCACGTGATCGTTTCCCGCCATAAATGGACGGCCTTGTCTGGTCGTTTTTGACACTTGGATTCAAATAACAAAGACGATTGTTTTCTCAGGTACATCTTCATTATCTTAGTCTTGAATCTTGAATTCACACACTTTGGTCATTCAATATGTCGGACAACTATCACGTGACTCGTTAGCGCTTGCACATCATGTTCCCCGATTAGTTTACAAGTATAAGACTTATTTTTCTATATGGGCCATGATGACTCTCTCGTCATGGCCGTTGATTGCCACTATCATTGAATATATAGTACTTATTTACCTAAAAAACACTATCCTAATGCATATTATAACACAGCTATCTAAGTAGTGAACATTATTATCATTGTTGTTATTATTGATATTGGAAACAAAGCATACGTGTGTGATTGGTCTTGAATAAAGTTCATCGGACTTATTTACTTTGGTGTTATGGGCACTCTTCACTATATTCCCCCCGGATATTCCCCCTCTATAGACCTCTTTACCTTGGGCATAACGTTTTCCCATTTCAGACCACGTGTCTTTCCCTAAAGTAACATTTCATTGTTTAACGATTGCGCATGAGAAGACATGAATATGGATACAACTCAAACAAAGAATCTTATTCTTAAAAAGAATGACGCCTGGTCTGAAATGGAAATACGCCAAAGAAAAGAGAACTATAGGTTGTCAAGAGTCGAAATTTCATGGTTATTATTTACGTGTTTCAAATGAGGGGAGCGATCACGCACTTAATTTGTCTTGGTGCAATTGACCATTACACACCACGCGTCATTCCCAAGAGTATCATTTATTTATTTAACGGTTGCGCAAGAGAAGACACATTCATGAATATGGATACAACTCAAACAAAGCCGAATCTTATTGTCTAGGAAATGGCACGTGGCCTGAAATAGGTAAACATTGCACCAAGAGGAATAAGGTTTATTCATATACCGGTAGCAAATTTAAACTTCTTGAAACTTTGCAAACTTTGCTCAATTTGGAGGACATAGCAATAGGTTTCCAATTCTTATGAAATTGAAATTCTTTTGTTTGTCCTCCAAATTGTCCAATATTCTCGCATCGTGATTGGATAAAATGGTCATTAATTTTTTACGCCCATTTTCTCGATTTATGAATTTCTGAAGAAGACCGTCTCGTTATCTTGAAAAATTTCGACGCATGAACCAGGAGCGAGGCTCAATAAGTATCTACTTTCCGGGCGATCCCGCATATAGGCACGCAATGCATTGCCGGAGAAACCAAAATATCCCATATTATTCATTTTTATTATCTTTAATTAAAACAAAATGATGTTCTTTCAAAGAAAAAACTTTGGGATTGGGAAATACTGAGGCTACGACATAATGTTTACTATCGATGCTAGGCTAACTGCACTATGTCATTCAATATAAAGTCTATTTAGGCAATGATATGGAGTAGATAGATGCCTATGAAATATATCCCACGCTTAATTCCAATTTGAGTTATATATCAATGAACAAGCCATGCCCTGACCAAGATCACCTTTAAGGCTGTTTCGGCGCGATAAAATTGGTGCTTGATTAACTGGAAAAACTTGCCAGAATCAATCGTGATTGGAAATAGGTTATTTTGATACCGAAGTGGGTGTGACCTAATATTTTTAAATATTGGGAACTGTAAATTTTATTTTTAATGTCTATTACTATTTTAATGAAAAAACATTATTCTCGTATTACCCTTGGTTTGTCTATCATGTGCATGCCCATAATTCCTTTCGGTCTTGGAACTACCTGTCTCCTAAGGATCTAGAAACATCTTCATAATAGGCCTATCTTGACCACTATAGAGTCTCTATATCAGATAATCAACTCTCTTTTATTGCGCACTTCATGGCGAAGCATTTTGTGAGATATTAACTTGAAACTTTCAAGGCGATAGCCGGATCTGCTAGGCCATATATATTTTCTTGAATACTCGGAAGCTCGTTAAAAATATTGACAAACAATGATATTGAAAATTCAAAGATAGATGATTTTAAGAGTTATTAGGGAATACCGCTGAGATTTGAACTACAGGCACTCCTTTTGTTTGTACAGACGCGATATCTCATTTTGAAGAAAACGTGTGTGTATGGTGATCTGAAAAACGGAGCCACCCACAGTTTTTTTTAACTAGGAAAGATTATTAATTATCAAATTAATATTATATCATTACAAATTATGTATTGATTATCCCATTATTCGTTTAGTAGTTTATATGATCCTTTAGTAGTTATATGTTTAACCATTTAATTCTTCAGCTATTAGTCCATTTATACTTTTTATCCATTTATTCATTTATTGATTCATTCTAAGTTAATATTTTATGTTTTGCAACATAATTCTTTCTAGCTCTTTTATCATACTTTGGGTCTCTATACCATCATTGCTGTATCTACATTGTCATGTTCACCTACTTCTCGACAAACGACGTGATTGCACAGCATTATGACAGATCTCAAATGCCGGCGTTAAAACATTTTCCAGATTCTTTAATAGCTAAATTTACACTATCATATATATTTCTAGCTAATACTATGATGTACAGTTACCAACTATGTAACAACAGAGCTGGTAATAATTTAACAATGATATACCACTTCCTAAAAGATCAAGTTAAATCTAATAAAGGGTTTTTATTCTATCTTCCTCGAAATTATAAAACGCATCTACAGTCCACACCTTAGTATAAGGACACTGTTGCTAATATTAGGGAAATCGATATATTTCTACTACATGTGTTTAAAGCCTTTAGAGATTGATATGCCGATGAATCTTATGTCGTGCAGTTTTCCAAAATGACTCAACAATTCAGTTGTATTTTTGTTGTTGTTGTTGTTTTGCTATAGGATACATCTATAGAACAGAGTAGTGACTGTTGTGCAAAATATACTTTAAGTTAGAATAAAACAAAAGTTACTGACCTTATATAACTATGACCCGCTTTGTGCGTAGACCAGTGACCAAAATATGATTCTCTTCTTCCTTGACATTATTACTGTAACACAAATATCAAGTTAAATCAGTCTAAAAGTATTTTTATTCCATCTTTCTCGAAATTATGATAGGCATCAACATTTTACATCTTAGTGTGTAATGACGCGCTGTACGATAATCCAAAAATTTAGAAATAAAAAGCGCATCGCTTTCCATTCATTTCCTCCAATATCATTTACCCTTCCCTCCCGTTTTAGGCACCATTACACGAAGCAATTTTCTCTGCCATTTGCCTCGCAAGAGCGTTGGGACACAAGTTGCAGGAGTGTCTAGACGGTGCAACGGAGACACAATCGTTGCCAAAAGTAGAAACGAATTCTGCTTTTTGCAACGATTGCTGCAACTTGTCTCGCAACATTTTTCAAATTGCGCTGTAGGTTACATGCTACAATGCTCCATACAACTTGTGTCGTAACGCCGTTGCGAGACAAATTGCAGAGAAAAATGCTCCGTGTATTCGCGCCTTTAGGGGGAGCAATGCATTTCTATTTATCAGTCTTTAAAGCCTTTAAAGATTACACGCCGATGTTTTTGTGTGTGTGCTATTAGGACACATAGATCTATGAAACAGAGTAGTTAAGTAAAATACACTTGAAGTTAGAATAAGTCCAGCATGATATAGCTCAGTTATTAGCCAGTCCGAGGTTGAGGAAAAGCCTGGGTCGAGTTGGCATTGCAGTGAGTCTTTTAGGGAGAGAAATAGACGCCATCTTGGAAACCGCTTTTCCCCTAAAACAGTCCCACGATGGACTGCAATATAAACCAACTTGACCCAGGTTTTTCCTCAATCTTGGCATGGCTAATACCATTCATTTACCATTATTATATTACATTTTAGCATTTCAGAGCCGGGTTAAGTGTCATCTATGGCTTCTTATAAAAATGGATTTTAAAAATTTGTAGTTTTAGTTGTATTTTGGACATACTTATATAAAGCTATGTAAACGCGGTTGTGACATATATTAAGTGTCATCTATGGCTTCTTGTAAAAATAGATTTTAAAAATTTGTAGTTTTAGTTGTATTTTGGACATACTTATATAAAGCTATGTAAACGCGGTTGTGACATATATGGCTTTGGATGCTTTTGCAAATTTGTCAAAATGCTATCTGTTAGTGTTTTCGACCGTTTCTATGAAATAAAAAACAATTTTAGATATAGGAAATGATGAATCAGTTCCGAAACTTAATTCAAAACTGAATCAATTTAAAAGAAAGGAAAATGCCTCTTAAAATTAAGGAGTATAAAATTCAGACTTTGTAACTTCAACGTGGATCTTAAACGGAGACTATAAAGAGCAACGGCCGACAGGAGTGCAAATGTGCCGGCATAAGTTTTGACTTTTGCTTTACTTAACGAGCAATTGAAAATAACTAACCTTAAACAAAGTATTAAAAAAGGCTCTAGGAATACCGTAAATATAAAAACTACAACAAGAATTCATGACAAAAGAACAAATTAAGTCATGCACTCTTACCAGGCATGTGAACGAATGAGAATTTCCTAAATATAGGCCTGTAAATTCTTGATTGCCCGTTTACTAAATCCGCTCTGTCTTCATATCACTTCTTGGTGTTCTTCAATTAGCGTGTTCTGAGCCTCGAAAAACGCAAAGAACTAAAAATTATCGTCTGCAGTTTGAAGCTTCTTCTGAATACAACTCCCAAAGTTTTCTGTTTCCAAATTTTGACTCTTTCCAACATCGAAATGTCTCTTTCTGAACGATTTCCTGCTCCATACTATACCAAAATACCTTGTTGGTGGATTATTTTGTTCATTTAAGCATTTATACTTTATGAAAATTGAATAAATCAACTGCTTTTTTCGTTGTTTCTCGATCTCTTACCAAACTTTCTTCGTTTTTTTGTTTTTTTTGCAAAGGCGTCAAGCATTTCTATCAACGAACGTGATTGGTCGAGATTTTTTAATTACACGTAGAGAGAATTTGTAGTTTCATATTCAAAATAGTTCCGTTTTTTTCTGCCTAATTATCGCGTTTTATAAAACCAATAGAAAAAGTTTATCTGTGTTTATATAGCCTGATATATTCGACATCGATGAGCGTCATAGCAGAGAGAGAGAGATTTTACTACGACGCTTTGATCATAACATATAGTACAATTATTTATAACATGGCACTCACCTTATTATAATCGAATGCAGTTCAATCTTGATGTCTTGCGGGTTTGTTATCCATGCCTTTATGTTCATGACTTTGTCATAGGTGTGGTGCAATTTCTACCAGTCGGCAACGTTGTATGGTTCGACATTAAAAAGTTTGTGAGCACCGTAAAATTAATTAAATAGTTCAACATTACAGTTCATTTGCAACCTTATTCTCGCCAGGTTCTTCACCTGTAACTTATATCTTTCTTTATACCTAAATATTGGAATACCACCACTCGGTGACTTTCTCGTTGAAT